AAAGTGGAATATAAACTGGAAACAAATAGCAAGTGCTTGCACTGTGTGGTCGAGCAGAGTGTTTATAAAAGTGGAATATAAACTGGAAACAAATAGCATGTGCTTGCACTGTGTGGCCGAGCAGAGTGTTTATAAAAGTGGAATATAAACTAGAAACAAATAGCATGTGCTTGTACTGTGTGGCCGAGCAGAGTGTTTATAAAAGTGGAATATAAACTAGAAACAAATAGCATGTGCTTGTACTGTGTGGCCGAGCAGAGTGTTTATAAAAGTGGAATATAAACTAGAAACAAATAGCATGTGCTTGTACTGTGTGGCCGAGCAGAGTGTTTATAAAAGTGGAACATAAACTAGAAACAAATAGCATGTGCTTGCACTGTGTGGCCGAGCAGAGTGTTTATAAAAGTGGAATATAAACTAGAAACAAATAGCATGTGCTTGCACTGTGTGGTCGAGCAGAGTGTTTATAAAAGTGGAATATAAACTAGAAACAAATAGCATGTGCTTGCACTGTGTGGTCGAGCAGAGTGTTTATAAAAGTGGAATATAAACTAGAAACAAATAGCATGTGCTTGCACTGTGTGGCCGAGCAGAGTGTTTATAAAAGTGGAATATAAACTAGAAACAAATAGCCTGTGCTTGCACTGTGTGGCCGAGTAGAGTGTTTATAAAAGTGGAACATAAACTAGAAACAAATAGCATGTGCTTGTACTGTGTGGCCGAGCAGAGTGTTTATAAAAGTGGAATATAAACTAGAAACAAATAGCATGTGCTTGCACTGTGTGGCCGAGCAGAGTGTTTATAAAAGTGGAATATTAACTAGAAACAAATAGCATGTGCTTGCACTGTGTGGCCGAGCAGAGTGTTTATAAAAGTGGAATATAACCTGGAAACAAATAGCATGTGCTTGCACTGTGTGGCCGAGCAGAGTGTTTATAAAAGTGGAATATAAACTAGAAACAAATAGCATGTGCTTGCACTGTGTGGCCGAGCAGAGTGTTTATAAAAGTGGAATATAAACTAGAAACAAATAGCATGTGCTTGCACTGTGTGGCCGAGCAGAGTGTTTATAAAAGTTGAATATAAACTGGAAACAAATAGCATGTACTTGCAGTGTATAGCAGAGCAGAGTGTTTATAAAAATGGAATATGAACAAATAGCAAAAAGTAACAACGAATAAGAAAGGTTTGATAAGTCTTTGCTTTTGTTCAGGAACTAGCATTACATCAGCACTGTGACGAGTCAAAGCATGAGCGAGCGGGTTTATGTCACAGGTATATTAGGCTTCTCGCTGCAAAGTACATAATAAAATACCATGTTATATTAGGAAATGAATGTGTTTTCGTTGCCTGATAGGACAGGACATCAAATCACCATATGTTCCTCTCTTCTTTGGCAGGACATCACATAACCTGTATTTCTTCTCTTGACTGACAGGATATCAAATCACCATGTGTTCCTCTCTTGCCTGACAGGACATCAAATCCCTGTGTGTTCTTCTCTTCCTTGACAGGACATCAAATCATCATGTGTTCCTCTCTTGCCTGACAGGACCTTAAATCACCAAATGTTCCTCTCTTCCTTGACAGGACATCAAATCCCTCTGTGTTCCTCTCTTCCTTGACAGGACATCAAATCACCATGTGTTCCCCTCTTGTCTGACAGGACATCGAATCACAATGTGTTCTCCTCTGGCCGGACGGGACATCAAATCACCATGTGTTCTCTTCCTTGACAGGACATCGAATCACCATGTGTTCTACTCTGGCCTGACGGGACATCAAAACACCATGTGTTCTCCTCTGGCCTCACGGGACATCAAATCACCATGTGTTCCCCTCTTGTCTGACAGGACATCAAATCACAATGTGTTCTCCTCTTGTCTGACGGGACATCAAATCACCATGTGTTCTCTTCCTTGACAGGACATCGAATCACCATGTGTTCTCCTCTGGCCTGACGGGACATCAAATCACCATGTGTTCTCCTCTGGCCTCACGGGACATCGAATCACCATGTGTTCTCTTCTGGCCTGACAGGACATCGAATCACCATGTGTTCCCCTCTGGCCTCACGGGACATCAAATCACCATGTGTTCTCCTCTTGTCTGACGGGACATCAAATCACCATGTGTTCTCTTCTGGCCTGACAGGACATCGAATCACCATGTGTTCTCTTCTGGCCTGACAGGACATCGAATCACCATGTGTTCTCTTCTGGCCTGACAGGACATCGAATCACCATGTGTTCTCCTCTGGCCTGACGGGACATCAAATCACCATGTGTTCTCCTTTGGCCTGACGGGACATCAAATCACCAAATGTTCCTCTCTTTCCTGACAGGACATTTAGCCGAGCGATGACCATCGCAAGCCAAGTTAAACGTTTGACAGTTCGTAAATCAGCCAACTATCCACGTTTAATCCACGCAGTTAGCGTTGTCAGAAATGGAACGAATAATTCTCAATTAATTCCTTTTACAAAGGCTGTTCTACAATTATTTCCTTTAGGTATGGAATATGTTGGTTCATCCACATTCAAGGTTTCTGTCAATACCCCCTTTGGGGGCTTACACGGTGACAAGGAAGACGTGCCAGAGGGAAGCGCTGTGACACAGCGATGTGAGAAGTAATGAAATGTCCCTCACACGGGGGTCGTTAAGCCCGTTAAATGTCAATATTGTAGGGGTTGCAAGTACAGCATAGGCGAAAAACGATGGATATTTATTTTCTAGGAAATTGAATATTACAATGGAATAAAAGAAGTGTAGCGACAGACATCGACATTATGCCAAATAGTTAATGTTTTAGCTGCTACTGTTTATTCCGTTAGAGAGTAGAATGGATCCGCTGGGTATCTGATGTGAGCCAATGCTTGAACCACTGGGCTACCCCGCCGCTCATATACGTATGTAATTCGTGTTTTTTTTGTTTTGTATTCATGCTTTTTAATTCTGACCAAAACAGTTTTGAATTATTTATATTTTTCTCTAACCTTTGTTTCCTCTCCATTTAATATTAATTTTGTTTATATTTACAGATGGCAGTATATTTGTTTCTAGCGGCATGATATTCTTTTCCAGTGATTAAATAGGCAGACGTGTTGTACTGTATAAAACACATGCACTGAGGTAGAACGTTGTCGCTAATTTCTTTCACCACAGATTTACAATGAAATATAAGTCAGTCAACTACATGAGTGCAAGCAGGCCTACGATAACTAATATTGACCTTTGATGGCAAAGGTATCCGTTCTTTGGTGGGCTAGTGAATAGAGCGTCCTCCCGGTGAGCGAAAGGTTGGTAGTTCGATCCCCGGCCGCGTCATACTGCAAGACGTTAAAAGATGGTACTTGTTGTTACTCTGTCTGGCGCTCGGCATTAAGGGGCTAAAACAAGGACTGGACGGCGCGGAGTTGGTATACTATGTCTGAGTGGGTTATTCATTTAATCCCCATTTCAACTCACCTTTGTGTTGTGTTGATGTTGATACGCAAATCAGACAATTCACTTTAATGTAGGTCTATACACCCCGGATGTAACGAAGTCGGGTAAAGCGTATAGTCGACTATAAGTTGTTGATTGGTTGATTTGTTGCTGAACGCCGCACTCACCAATATTCCAGCTATATGACGGCGGTCTGTAAATAATCGAGTCTGGACCAGACAATCCAGTGATTGACATCATGAGCATGGATCCACGCAATTGGGATACGATGACATGCATCAACCAAGTCAGTGAGCCTGACCACCCGATCCCGTTAGTCGCCTTTTACGACAAGCATAGTCGCCTTTTACGGCAAGCATGGGTTGCCGAAGACCTATTCTAGCCCGGATCTTCACGGGTCTCGACTATAAGGGGACTAAGGTTAATCCTCTTGGTGTTTATAAGTAATTGGTAAAGAATATAACATAGTGATTGGCGAGATGCTGTCTTGTGAAACTATGTAATGTCGACTGGCCTGCCTGTACGGATATGGTCAGTGAGTGAGTGAGTTGAGTTTCACTCAGCTTTGAACAGTATTCCAGTTACACCACGGCGTTACGGATATCATGACGGCATAAGGTTGTACATTACGTCACTTTGCTTATCACGCCACACATGACCCTCCTCTTACTCGAGTAACAATACTTAAAAGGGCCACACGCACAAACGTTACCCGAAAATATATCTTGTAAATATATCTTGTAATTTGTGATAATTATATGAATGGGTGACTGAAATTCAGCGACGACACCAAGTGTTCGCGAAAAGGGTAATCTTGTCCTGCTCTACCGGCAGCACCCGCCACTTTCATTAAAAAAAGTAGATAAGTATTTGTTTGTGGCATAACGCCGCACTCAGCAATACTTTTGCCATATGACGGCGGCTTCTAAACAGTCGAGTCTTGGAAAACAATCGGTGGCGGATTGACGTTAGGATGAACGTTTCGCCGTTACTGTGGTCACTCTTAATGAGGAAATATTTTCACTTGAAATATTTTTCTCTTCACCCTATCTAATAAACGTCAGTAGGAAATTGTTATGGAGAACAACATACACTGACTTCATAAACACTGATGAAAATATTTCAAGAAAACACTCATATACTTGTGCACTCAAAAGAACCCACTCGTCCGATGGCAGATGACCAGATGGTGGAACCACGATAGCGAATACGTACATACACCCGAAACACAAGTGTAAACACGTGAGGTGTCACTCTGGGTAAATGACTTAGTTCAAATGTGCCTCTGTTCACCCAGCAGGTACCGGGTAGCCGATATGTGACGTGGATGTAAAAACCTTCTAGAGCCTCTGGGCAGCTTGGGTTGTATACCCCGCTTGGAGTTGAGAATGATAACTGGAATGCAAACGGATTCACTGGTCGGGGAACAAATAAAACTGCATTTGAGCAGATACTTGTATCTGGATACCTGCGGTATAAAAGCGTGTAGTTTAAAAAAAACCCACTAATCTACCTGAAGAAATATGCTATGTTAAATATCAAGTGAACACCTACCCGATTGTACAGCGAGTCCGAGGAGGATGGAGAGCACCAGGAGATGTACATCCGTGCTCATTGTGCTGCTGATGGAGTGAGGCAGCAAGGGAACATACACTAGGCTGTCACCCTGCTTCAAGGTATCGATCAGCTCCCGTAACGAACGTGGTGCTCTGTGGTCAGGTACTGGACCGCCCATCACCACACTACATGCAACACCTGGTGTCGGGATCACGCGAGGGTAAAGGTCACCACCGCGACAGTTCCCGAAGTGGTGAGTGAGTTTGTTGTTTAACGCCGCACTCAGCAATATTCCAGCTATATGACGGCGGTCTGTAAATAATCCAGTCTGGACCAGACAACCCAGTGATTGACATGATGGGCATCGATCCACGCAACTGGGATCAATGACATGCATCAACCAAGTCAGCGAGCCTGACCACCTGATCCCGTTAGTCGCCTTTTACGACAAGCATAGTCGCCTTTTACGACAAGCATGGGTTGCCGAAGACCTTTTCTAACCCGGATCTTCACGGGAGTTGAGAACTGGAATGCAACGGATCCACTGGTCGGGGAACAAATAAAACCGCATTTGAGCAGATACTGGTACCTGGGTACCTGCTGTATATAGATATATTATATAATGCAGTAATAATAATAATAATATACTAACGTGGTTTAGTTCGTAAGCTGACGACATTTTGGATGAATGATGATGCTCCCATCATGTGTTTGAATCATAAAAAAAACAACTTTTTCTCAATTACACTGTTTTTTAACAGTTTGACGTGTGTATAAACGTAGGTCGTTCCCCTTGGTAGTTTGGGCAAGGGAGGTCCTTTTCCATGATTATGTTCATGACATTGACGGATCTGGCGAGAACGAACATCAAACTGAAATAACATGTAATAACTAGGTGTCAAGTGGAGAGAAAGTGCACAAATGACATTATGACATACGTGCTTATGACATTATGACCCCCTCAACGGATCAATGTGAATGCCAATTACATTCCCAGCTCCTTGGGGAGTATACAATACATGCAGGACAGATGAACAGATGAGGTGAACATCAAATCACTGAATAACACCCATAAACGGTCACATGAAACATGTTTTTTTCTGTTTTTGCCCTCAAATAAGAGTGAGTGAGTGAGTTGGGTTTAACGCCGCTTTTAACATTGTTCCAGTTATATCACGGCGTGTCAGCTTAATGTGGGAGGAAAGCCCGAAGTGATGCAGGTCTTAGACGTTTACCACTTCGGTGAAACCCACGAGCACGGGTATGGTGCTGACAAACCTAGAAACATAATCGGGGCGAACCGGGATTCGAACCCACAATCATAGGTTTCTGGCGTGTCCAAGGGGCGCAACTCTGCACAGCGAATCACGGCGCTTTAGACGACTGGGCCACCCGTGCACCCCCTCAAATAAGAAATCCATACACAATGGACATATTAAAGAACGATCCTATCATAGCTTATTTCGCCTTTAACAAGTGTATGTAAGCTGATCCCTGCTATGATAAACTGTTTCAAGTTGCTGATGCTAATGTTAAAGGTAAATAAAAATGTGAAAATGATAAATAGAATTCATCACTCGTGGTTTTTTAATATGGGAAATATCAATTTCGTCCCGTTAATCGATATTTGCCTCGCCAAAGGCTCGGCAAATACCGAGTAACTGAGACTCGATTGATATTTCCCATATTAGAGGTGAATCCTCTATGTAATGTTTATCCAGCTGTTTATTGGAACCGTTCCGTGTTCGTGGTTTTCACGGGGCGGTCGGGTAGCCTAATGGTTAAAGCGTTCGCTCGTCACGCCGAAGACCCGGGTTCGATTCCCGACATGGGTACAATGTGTGAAGCCCATTTCTGGTGTCCCCCGCCGTGATATTGCTGGAATATTGCTAAAAGCGGCGTAAAACCATACTCACTCACTCACTCACTCGTGGGTTTCACCAAAGTGCTAAACGTCTAAGACGTTTGGGCTTTCCTCCCACTTCAAGCCGACCGACCGGGATATAACTGGAACACAGTTCAAATCGCTGTTAAACCAAACTCACTCACTCACTCACTCATGTTTGCCGTAAAAGTCTACTATGCTTGTCGTAAGAGACGACTAACGAGATCGGGTGGTCAGGCTCGATGACATTTTTAGTTGATGCATGTCATCGTATCCCAATTGCGTGGATCGATGCTCATGATGCCAGTCACTGGATTGTCTGGTCCAGATTCGATCATTTACAGACTGCCGTCATATAGCTGGAATATTGCTGAGTGCTGCGTTCAACAACAAACAATCAAGCAAACACACACACATACTCACTCATACCGCCAGGGGGCACCGTAAGCATAAGCGAGTGACGTCACAGTTCCCAACCCCAGCCAGATCGTGGGGTCAGGTTGATAGTCGAGTGTAGGCCACGTCAACCAGGTATTGATTGCATTGGAAGAAATTTCATTTCTAAAATAGAATTTAAATCACATGTGTGGAAACAGCAATCTTTAAGTACCATCATTATTCGACGTTATTCTTGAGGGATATTACATACAATGAACCCAACTACAAGATGTCGGCCAACATGATTATAGAAGAGTTACGGCCGCGTCGGAGTTAGTCTGTCTCACAGTCGCTGGACTAAATTATTTCCTCTTCTGCATAACTCACTGCAATGAGAACCGCCTCCGTGGTCTAATGGTAGAGCGTCCGCCTGGAGAGCGGAAGGTCCGGGGTTCGATCCCGAGCCGCGTCATACCAAAAGACGTTAAAAGATGGTACTTGTTGTTACCCTGTCTGGCGCTCGGCATTAAAGGGCTAAAACAAGGACTGGTCGGCTCAGAGTCAGTATACTGTGTCTGAGTGGGGTATTCATGTTAAACTGCGGCATGGTATCTCAGTGTGCTAGCACTATAAATCGGCATCAGTCCGGACTAGTACAAGCAGCCACACACACACACATACACGTGCATGCACGTCGCTATATAAGTGCAATAATCTTGGACGCGACGTTAAACCCCACCTCACCTCACCTCACCTCACCTCACTGCAATGATATAGCCAAATGAAGCATGTCTAGATTTCCCACAAGTTCTGAATCTCCCATCTCATTGAGTCTCCTTTTCATTTTAAATGGAGTTGTTTGTTTTTTGTCAAAAATATATATATTCAGAGACTTAGCATTAGTCTGCTCGGGCCTCTACGCCAGTAGATGTGACAGTAGAGTAGTTTGTGACCAGATAGACAGAATGACCTTCATCACTGTTTGGGAGACCTCAACAAGCGTGACCTCGCCCTAAATGTTCCAAGACGATTTCAAGGTGGTCATTAGTGGTACATGTTTATTCACTGACTTTTCCATCGCGTGCCTGCGGTGCTGAGTGGTCTGGTATATCTACAGAATGAACTCCTCGGGGCCACTTCCGGTATACATCGCTCGATCAACATCGGAAGCAAGATGCCCTGCACGAGGGTACAAAATCAGCCGTAGGCATAGCTAAGGCCACGACAAATATGTTATATGTTCAACTGATTCAACTCTGGGCTTAAGGCCGCTTTAAACATCACTTCGGTCACATCATGGCGTGTCTAATTGGGAGGAGAAAAATGGTCCGTGGGGATTCAGGTTTAGAATGCTCTAGAATAGGTTCCCAGCACCCTGTGGTGTTCCATTCGTGACAAAACTCGTGTTATTACTGGACAAGCCGAATAGCGCATTCGTGACCAACTCGTGTTATTCCGGGACAAGCCGAATAGCGCATTCGTGACCAACTCGTGTTATTCCGGGACAAGCCGAATAGCGCATTCGTGACCAACTCGTGTTATTCCGGGACAAGCCGAATAGCTTGCAGGTTACGGAAAGGGGCGAGAGGTGACGAATGATTGTGATCGTACGATTAAATGGATCCGGTTCGGTGATTTGGTTGATATTGTGTCGTCTTTCCCGACGGTTTTGGATGTTTCTTATACTATCAAACACTGGTTTGTCAGGCCAAGACTCGATTATTTACAAGCCGCTGTCATAAAGTTGAATCAGTGCTGAGTGTTGTGTTTATGAACAACAAACAAAACGAAACTCTCTGTACGGCCTCGCAAAAAGAGAACATAAACTAATATATTTCTGACAATTGACAACTTATCAGTTTAACACAAAACATTAACGCCGAAGAACAGTCAATCTCGATCACCTGCCAAAACAGATTCCAGCGGGCGCAAAAGACAAAACAGCGGCGAAAAACACATGAATGGATCACTGAAAATCAGTGATGACACCAGGTGTTCGTCAATGTCAAGCTCTACCGGTAGCACCCGTCACTAAGAAATATTAATAGCTGACAAGAGCACATATCAAAGTTTCGAAGAGTTATTAACTCGAAGCCTTGGGGAGTTTGAGTTAATAATACATTGAGTTATACGGACTTCGAGAGAAGCGGAGAGCCGATATTAGACTCAAAAGCCGAGGGCGGTCGGGTAGCCTAGTGGTTAAAGCGTTCGCTCGTCACGCCGAAGACCCGGGTTCGATTCCCGACATACGTACAATGTGTGAAGCCCATTTCTGGTGTCCCCCGCCGTGATATTGCTGGAAAAAAGCTAAAAGCGGCGTAAAGCCACACTCACTCACTCACTCACTCACTCACTCACTCACTCACTCACTCACTCACTCACTCACTCACTCACTCACTCACTCACTCACTCACTCACTCACTCACTCACTCACTCACTCACTCACTCACTCACTCACTCACTCACTCACTCACTCACTCACTCACTCACTCACTCACTCACTCACTCACTCACTCACTCACTCACTCACTCACTCACTCACTCACTCACTCACTCACTCACTCACTCACTCACTCACTCACTCACTCACTCACTCACTCACTCACTCACTCACTCACTCACTCACTCACTCACTCACTCACTCACTCACTCACTCACTCACTCACTCACTCACTCACTCACTCACTCACTCACTCACTCACTCACTCACTCACTCACTCACTCACTCACTCACTCACTCACTCACTCACTCACTCACTCACTCACTCACTCACTCACTCACTCACTCACTCACTCACTCACTCACTCACTCACTCACTCACTCACTCACTCACTCACTCACTCACTCACTCACTCACTCACTCACTCACTCACTCACTCACTCACTCACTCACTCACTCACTCACTCACTCACTCACTCACTCACTCAC